ACAGAGAGGTTTCTTAGTAATCCTAGATGTAACTTTAGAGCCACCAAAATGGTATCCATGTCTACTGCTAAGACAGTTAATTATGACTGTTCTCTGAGAAGCCCACACCGGTGCTCTGGGATTTTTAAGATTTTTTTTAAAGATTTTTCTTTTTGATCATGTGTATGTGTCTGGGGGTTTGTGCATGTGAGTGCTGGTGCCCTCAGAGACCAAAAGAGGAGTCAGATGCCCCAGAGCTGGAGTTACAAGCAATTGTGAGCCATCTGATGTGGGTGAGAATTGAACTCAGGTTCTCTGGAAGAGCAGTATGTGCTCTTAACCACTGAGACATTTCTCCAGCCCTCTACTTCTGACTTTATTTTTAACATTTAATTTGCATATACAAAAGACTAAAAATAATGTAATAGTTGTCCTCCACATTCAAAAGTCCTCCATACGTGGGCAACCTGTTTTCTCTGTCCTTCCCATCCTGGGACTATAGAAAGGAGCTAGTATATACTAAGCAAAGCAGATCCAAGACATCACGTCATCAAGCTATAAATACTTCAATATGCACCTCTAAAAGATGTAGTGTCTTTTATGAGACAGGGTCTCACTATGTAGCCCAGGCTAGCCTTGAAATCATGATCCTCATGCCTCTACCTCTTGAGCACTACTAGGGTGGTAGGTGTATGTCATCATGTCCAGCTAGAATGTAGCCTTTATTTTGTTCAGACATTATCACAGCCAATAAGTTTCTTAATATTACCTAATGCTCGGTCTACCTCCTTACACAGCTGGTTCTTTCTCATGCTTCAAACCACCCTTCCCAGATGCCAATATTTAGTTCCCACATCCATTATTCTCCACTTTCCCCTTCCTTGCTTCCCTTAGGGTCCTTGTCAAAACTCATATTTGTACCACTATTTGCTCATTTTGTCACTTTAATTTTTCCTGTCTCCATCATTAGAATATAAACTTCCTAAAGGAAAATGTTCATATTTGTCTTGTGCATCACTGAATCCTGAGTACCATGGCCAAGGTCAGCACAACAGCCAAGAGTGTGATTCACAGAGAGATTAGAGGATAATTAAATTCGACAAAATTTAGAGCCAAACAGAAGGGCAGGCAAGAGTCCAGCTCATCTATTAGCCAAAGAAAGTAGCAACAAACATGCTAAGGATGGTCACACCTCATCCAGTTCCTGAACAGTTCCTCAATACCAGTTTTCATACCCAAAATCTATTTGCTAAAGAGGAGGCAGGGTTTCTAGGAGGAAGGACCTGGAATACAATGGTAAATATATACTGTAAAGATGCTCCCAGCTCATCCCCAGGAGGACCTACAGTCAATCAGGGGACTCTTAGTGAAGAAAGGGGGATACTCAGACATTTTTTAGGACAATTAGAACAGGATCTGAGTTACCACAGATATCTAGAGATCCAAGTCATTATCACGGCCATACCCAATTAGAGTGAGGGTACACAGCACCAAAGTTCCATGTAGAGGATCTGAATCTGTGGACTCAGCCAGGGTGGGGGCATTTTTCTAGTCACTCAAGTGAAAATGGAATTAACTAGGGCTGGAGAGATGGCTCAGTGGTTAAGAGCACTGGCTGCTCTTGCAGAGGACCCAGGTTTGGTTCCCAGCATCCACATGGTGACTAACAACCACTCATAACTCCAGTTCCAGAGGATTCTATGCCCTCTTCTGGCCTCCATAGGCATTGACTGCTTGGGTGCACTTACATAAATGTAGGCAAAACACTCATACACAGAAAGTAAAACTAAAATCAAACAAAATTTTTAAAAAAATGGAATTAACTACTTAGAAGTTGGAGAACCCCCACATTAAGTCTGTGGCCTATAGGTGAGAGTTCTCATAGGAGGGGAGGCCAAATGAATGTCCCTGCATCTGTGTCTGAGCCAATAAAAACATTACAGCCCCAGGGACACAGTGGGGATATAGGAGTGGTGCCCCCCCCGCCATCAAACCTCCATTAACTCAAGGTCTTGCACTTCCAATACCTGGATTGGTTCTAGAAAATGATTATCAATTACTGTAAGCTCAGCCAAACAGCAGTCTTAATCTTTTCTAGAATAGATCAGCATAGGCCAAGGAAAGTGGGTGGCTGCTAGTTAGAGTGAAATTTTTTAAAACTCAATCCTCTATACCCTTCCAAAAGAATCAAGGAGGTTCCACATCTACACGGAACCAAAAATCACATATGCACACAGGCCATGGTAATTCTCCTAGTTTATATAAGATATTCTCAGTAGATCAGGGCTTTCTGATTCTCCCACAGAACACCACAATGACTTTTGCATCAGGTCAGCAAACAATGGCCTGTGAGCCAAATCTAGTCCACCACCTGTTTTTATATGGGTCTCAGGCAAAAAATGATTTTTACCATTTTATTTTATATTTATTTTTACTTATGTGTGTATCTGAGTGTATTTCATGTGTGTGCATGTGCTTGCAGAGGGCAGAAGAGGGCAAGAGAGCATCGGATCTTGTGCTGGATAGCTACAGTTGTCAACTTGACACACCTAAGTAAAGGGAACCTCAAATGAGGAATTTCCTCCATTGGATTGGCCTGTGGGCATGTCTGTAGGGCATTTTCTTGATTGTTGAGTGATGCGGGAGGGCCCAACCTCTTATGGGTATTACCACTCCGGCAGGTGCTCTTATGTTGTACAAGAAAGCAGGCTGAGCACAGGCCAAGAGAAGAGAAAGCCAGTAAGCAACATTCCGTGGTCTGTGCTCCAGGTTCCTGCCCTAAGTTCCTGCTTTGGCTTCCCTCAATGATGAACCGCGACCTGGGAGATGTAAGATAAAATAAACCCTTTCCTCCCCAAGTTGGTTTTGATCAGTGTTTTTTAAAAATGTTTTATTATTTTTACTTTATATGTATGAGTGCATTCCCTGAATATATGTAAGTGCACCCATATCATGCAATGCCTGCAGAAGTCAGAAGAGGGCGTTGGATTCCCCTGGAAGTGGAGTTATGGACAGCTAAGCCACCATGTGGGTTCTGGGAGCTGAACCTAGGTCCTCTGCAAGTGCAGCCAGTGGTCTTAATCACTAAGCCATCTCTCCAGCCCCTTGGTCAGTGTTTTCATCACAGCAATAGAGAGTAACTTAGACAAATTCCCTGGAGCTGGAGTTACAGCTAATTGTGAGCTGCCCAACATGGGTGCTGGGAACTGAACTTAGGTCTTCTCCAAGAGCTACAAGCATTCTTTTTTTTTTTAATGTGCATAAGTGTTTTGCATGCATGCAAGTAAGTGCACCCATATGTGCAAGGCCCGCAGTCACCAGATGAGACATCAAGTCCCGTGGAACTGGAGTTATGGACCATTGTTAGCAGCCACATAGGTGCTGGGAACCAAATCTGGGTCCTCTGCAAGAGCAGCCAGTGATCCTAACTGCTGAGCCATCTCTCTGGGAGATACCATCTCTCCCCTGTTTTTTAGACAGGGTCTCACTATGCAGGCAAGGCTGATCTTGAACTTACAAAGATCCACCTGCCTTTGCCTCCTGGGTATGTGAATTGAAGGCCTCTGCCACCATGCCTGGCAAGCAAGCATTCTTAACCACTGAGTCACCGCTCTAGCCCCTATTTTGTTTTATTTCATTTTATATTTGAGATAGGGTCTCATGATATACTTCTAGCTGTCCTAGAACTATGTAGACCAGATTGCCTTTGTCCTAGTTTGTTTCTTCATTGCTGTTACAAAACACTCTGACCACTACCAACTTGGGAAGGAAAGGGTTTATTTATCTTACATCTCCCAGATCACAGTTCATCAGGGAGCCCAAGGTAGGAACTCAGGGCAGGAACCTGGAAGCAGGAGCTGGAGCATAAGCCATGGAGGAACACTGATTCCTGGCTTGCTCCCCTGGCCCCTGCTTAGCTTGCTCTCTTATGCAACACAGGCCCACCTGCCCAGGGTGGCACCACCCACAGTGGGCTTGACCCTCCCACAACATTCAACAATCAAGAAGATGCTCCACAGACATGGCCACAGGCCAGTCCTATGGAGGCAATTCCCCAACTGAGGCTCACTCAACCCAGGTGTGTCAACTTGACACTAAAGCTATCCAGCACAGCCCTCAAACTTGCAGCAATCTTTCTACCTTTACCTCCCAAGTGCTGAGTTTACAGGTATGTGCCACCATGCCCCGCTGATTTTTTTTTTTTTTTTTTTTACCATTTTAAAGTATTTTTGCTTGTTTGGTTGGTGGTTGGTTTGTTTTCTGAGACAGGGTCTCCCTGGAGCCAGAACTGGCTGGAACACACTATGTAGACCAAGCTGGCCTCAATCTCACAGATCCACCTACCTCCACTGCCTAAGTTCTGGGATTAAAAGCTTGCAACATTACATTCGGCATTTTTAAATGATTTTTTTAAAGTATATGTATATAGGGGCAGGAGAGATGGCTCAGTGATTGAGAGCACTGCATGCTCTTGCAGAGGACCCAAGTTCAGTTTCCAGAACCGGAATGGCAGCTAACAACAGCTTGTACTTCAGTTCCAGGGGATCAGATGCCCTCTTCTAGTCTCTATGGGCATTGCACACATGTAGTGCACTTAAATACATGCAGGCAAAACACTCATACACATAAATGAAAAATAAACTTAAAAAATTATATTTATGCCAGGCGTGGTGGTGCACACCTTTAATCCCAGCACTCGGGAGGCAGAGGCAGGCGGATCTTTGTGAGTTCGAGGCCAGCCTGGTCTGCATAGCGAATTCCAGGGCATCTGGGGCTACAAGGAGACCCTGTCTCAAAAAGACAAAAAAAAATTACATTTATGTCTGTCACATGTGTGTGCCACATGTGTGCAGGTGCCCAAGGAGGCCAGAAGAGGGTGTTGCATCCCCTGAGCTAGAGTTATAGGCAGTTGTGGGCAACCCAACCCAACAAGTGCTCTGAACTGCTGAGCCATCTTTCCTTCCAGCCCACTAATTTTTTTTTTTTTTTTTTTTTTTTTTAAGATTAGGATAGCTGGGCATGGTGGTGCATGCCTGTAGTCCCAGCACTTGGGATCTCTCTGCGCCGGTTCCATTCTTCGTGACGCACGCTTCCCCCTCCTCTCCACCGCGCCCGGGGCCTCTACACTGCCTGATGCTGCAGTAGCGCAGGGGCAGCTGCTGCTCTTCTCTGGACTCAGGAGGCGAGGCCGTGACCGAAATGTCCACAGAAGGAGGGTTTGGTGGTACCAGCAGGAGTGATGCCCAGCAAAGCCTCCAGTCCTTCTGGCCTCGCGTCATGGAAGAAATTCGGAACTTAACAGTGAAAGATTTCAGAGTACAGGAACTCCCACTGGCTCATATTAAGATAATGAAACTGGATGAAGATGTGAAGATGATCAGTGTGGAAGCCCCTGTGCTCTTTGCCAAGGCAGCCCAGATTTTTGTCATGGGGCTGACTCTTCGAGCCTGGATCCACACAGAGGATAACAAACGCCATACTCTTCAGAGGAATGATACCACTGTGGCAATTACAAAATTTGATCAGTTTGACTTTCTCATCGATATTGTTCCAAGAGATTAACTGAAACCTCCAAAGCGTCAGAAGGAAGTGAACCAGTCTGTGACTCCTGCTGAGCCCATCCAGTACTACTTCACGCTGGCTCAGCAGCCCACTGCTGTCCAAGTCCAGGGGCAGCAGCAAGGCCAGCAGACCACCAACTCCACAACCACCATCTAGCCTGGCCTGATCATCATTGTGCAGCCCCAGCAAGGCCAGACCACACCCATGACAATGCAGGTTGCAGAAGGTCAGCAGGTACAGATAGTGCAGGCCCAGCCTCAGGGTCAAGCACAACAGGCCCAGAGTGGCACTGGACAGACCATGCAGGTGATGCAACAGATCATCACTAACAAGGGAGAGAGAGATCCAGCAGATCCCAGTGCAGCTGAATGCCGGCCAGCTGCAGTATATCTGCTTAGCCCAGCCTGTATCAGGCACCCAAGTCGTTCAGGGACAGATCCAGACACTTGCCACCAACGCCCAGCAGATCACACAGACAGAAGTCCAGCAAGGACAGCAGCAGTTCAGCCAGTTCACAGACGGACAGCAGCTCTACCAGATCCAGCAAGTCACCATGCCTGCTGGCCAAGACCTCGCCCAGTCCATGTTCATCCAGTCAGCCAGCCAGCCCTCCAAAGGGCAGACCCCCCAGGTGACCGGAGATTGAGGGCCTGAGTTGGCAAGGCCAAGGACACCCAACACAATTTTGCCATACAGCCCCAGGCGATGGGGGCACAGCCTTCCTCACCAGAGGACTCGGGGACTTCAGTGCCTCCTGCAGGCTAGGGCATTGGTGCACTATGCCCCGTGACTAGGGACCGAGATTCTACAACAGAAAGATGCAATATTTTTTATTTCCTTTTGTCCATTTTTTTCTCCAAGGAATCAATATTTCAATATATTGAGCATGTGTGTCCAATGCTATGAAATGAGAATATTAAATAACATAATTATGGCATTTTCAAGAGTATGGTTGAAGAAATATTTGTCCATTTGTGTCTCTGGTTTGGGTTCTTGCCACTTCTTTTTAGGAGCAGGTCTTTTCCTTCCTAGGGGTGCACAGGATTTCCTGACTCTTGGAATAGCTGCTCCCCTTGTTCCCAGAACCAGTTAGGATCCATTTCTACCAGCATTCCTCTCCACTCCTCCCCAGAGCTTTGTGCAGCCAGAGGCCATGGAAACATTCTTTGCATGTGGGAGATGAACTCAGTCCGCACAGGGAGAGGTGGTTTCATTCTAGCCCTTCTCTGTGAGATCCAAGGAGGCTAGCACTTTGCATTGCTCTCACCCCCTTTTATTGTGCTAGTCTCCCTTGCTGCATGGACTTCAAACTGCATGAAATGCAATAAATCTTGTTTTAGATTAAAAAAAAAAAAAGACTAGGATAGCTGGGCATGGTGGTGCATGCCTGTAGTCCCAGCACTTGGGATCTCTGTAAAGTTCGAGGCCAACTTGGTCTACTTAGTAAGTTCCAGGTCAGCTGGGCTACAAGGAGACCCTGTCTCAAAAAGGAAAAAAAAAAAAAAAAAAAAAAAAGAATAGGATGAACAGAGAAGAGCATAGAGGATTTTCATGGTAATGAACATATCCTGTATAATACAATTATCACCCACCATTTGATGTACAACCATGAAAGACATGTAATGATAGATATAGGTCACTGTAAGTTACCCAAACCCACAAGAGTAAGCACTAAACTTATCTATGGAGTCTGAGTGATAGTGGTACATCAACAAGAAAACAAATGTGCCCTCTAAGGTGACAGTGACTGACAGGTGTGGACACAAGGGGTATATGGGAGCTCTATTTACTGCTCAGTTTGCTGTGGTTCTAAAACTGCCCTAAAAATAAAGTTTATTGTTGTTTAAATCGAAAGAAGGCTTTGTTGAAGTACACAAACATCACAAGAAGTTCAGATTGTTAGAACACAATCATGTCTAAGTTCAGCAGCTGGTGTCAGAGACCAAATAATCCCCTAAACCTAAAGTATTTACCGTTTGCTCTTATATTGAGAAAGTATGTTAGCCCCTACATTACATGGATGGCATCATAGTGATGCACCATTCAGAGGTTCTGGGGGTGCTTGGACCCACAGGCATAAAGTCCCATACAATAAACGATTTGGCCAGTTGAATCAATTCACAGTCCAAAGAGATGCAGAAGTGGGCCTGTGATTTCAGGTGACATCTGCTCTACCATCCCAGATAAACCAGCCTGACAAGGTTGGAATGACACCTGCTTGGGCTGTGAACCGGCAGGCACAGCCACTCCTGCCTGAGACGGGTACAGTTATCAGAGTCGCAGACCCTTCAGGAATGAGAGTTTCTGTCACACCAGGTGCACCACTGAGAAGAACATTAGTGATGGCTGAGGTCTGCTGGGAAACACACCTGAGGAAGGCTGGAGGGATGCAGACCTCGGCGGGCAGGTCTGGAATCTTCCGGGGCTCTCAGTCGTGTTGGGTAATTACGAGTGTTTTAATATCTGTTTGGACATTCTGGAAGAACGCTCAGGGCATAGGACCCCTAACCGCAGGGCCCCTATCCAGCCGAGGCTGGCACTGCGCTCTGAGCTCTTGCCTCCCCTTCTCCCCAATCACCATCCCGGCTCACCGCCTCCGGGCTTCCTGGCGCGCAGCGATGCGCAGGCGCCGGGCCTGGATTCGCTCCTGCGGATCATCCGAATGTACCGAGGGCCCAAGAATCGGAGCGTTTGAGTGTTCATCCCCATTTTGCTCTAGGACCCCGAGGGCAGCTGACGGATTCATCCTCTCTCGCCCACCCGCAGCTGGGCCTGGACTGCCGCCCGGTTGCTAGGAACAAGCCGTTGCCAGGGAAAAGCAGTCACCTGACCCGCAGCTGGCGGGTTTGCACGCGCAGCCGTTCTGGTCACGCGCACCGAGGTCCTGCGAGCTTTGCATTCCTGCTGTGGGTTTTAACTGATCTGAAGTGGGCATGGAAGGACTGCCCTGACCCCACGAAGCGCTGGCATCGTGTCAACGGAGACGATGCAGTCTCAACCAATGAGCTGGACTGAATCGCGCTTCATCACTGACTAGTATAACCAACTCATCATTCATTCATCAAATAAATATTCCTAAAAGTCACATTCCTCGAATATAACTGCGCACCTGCTATATTCAAAACATTGAACTAGAGTCAGGGTAGTGGCGTCCTTTCCTCACGAGCGTGTAGAATAACTGAACTACAACTGCCTCCAGGTTCATTGTCCAGTTTTGAGGTTCGACTTGATGCATTCTGCCCATCTCTAGAATATGAACTCGGAGCCTTTCCGAAGTTACACCCACTGCTGTCCTGTACAGCTGTGTTCAGTAGGCCTGAATCCTAGAACAATCCCACCACTCTTGCAGTCACTACTTATAGAAAAGTAGAGGGGGTGGGTGGAGAATGGTTTGTTTGCTAGAATGGGAATACAGACTATTCCCTGGGCATCTTTGTGTCCCGTTGCCAACAAAAACAATGTTCTTGGGCAGAAGATGGTTCAGCAGGTAAGGGCTCTTGCCTCCAGCTTGACGACCTAAATTTAGTTCCCAGGATCAACATGGTGGAAGAAGATAACACTCCCACAAGCTGTCCACACAAATGCACTGGCATGCAATCACAGGAACACGAAAACACGCACGCTAAATATCAAAATATTTTTGAAAAATACTGTTAATAATTAAAGCCATGCCTATGGGTTTAGAATATAGCACACTGGTATAGAGCTTGCCCAGCATGTGTGAGGTCCTTAGTTTAATTACCAGCACGGGGGTGGGGGTGGGTGGGTACAGACACACAAAACAACCCATGCTTGTGCTGTGTGTAATGGCACATGCCTTTAATCTCAGCACTCTAGAGGCAGAGGTAGAGGCCTCTCTGTAAGTTTGAGGCCAACCTGGAGTGGTTTGGTTTGTTTTTTCCTCCCTATGAATGAGTGCATTTTCCACATCAGTTAAGTCTACAAGTGGTAGAAAATACAAAACAGCCTAAAGAGTCCAAGTGCTGCAAGGCTGGAGAGATGGCTCAGCTGTTAAGAGCATTTGCTGCTCTTGCAGAGGCCACCCACATAGTAGCTCACAACCATCTGAAACTCCAGTTTCAGAAGTTCCAATACCCTCTTTAGACCTCCTAAGGCATTGCACGAACATGGTGAATATACACACATGCAGGTTAGGTGAGGGAGAGGGGCAACTGCTTCTAGGATTTAGGGATGTCTGCTAAATCTCTTTCCTTTGTAAACCTCAGCTTCTAAACTTTAGTAGGGTTCATGGCTCTGGTTAGTGTTTCTAACATCCATCCATGAGGAGGGAAGTGTGTGTGTGTGTGTCTGTCTGTCTGTGACTGTGAATAGGATACCATGAGAAGTAGGAATGAGCTGTTACTCAAGAGACAGGTGAGAACTTATTACTATTATTCTGCTAAATAGACATAGCATTAAACCAACTCCTAATGACTTGTTATACCCATAGTTAATGCATCTCTCAACTCTCACCAGAGAATCTTCGTCTTGCAGCAGATGGAGATTAGAAGAGACCCACAACTGGTCACGTGCAGAGAACAAGAAACTACACAGTGCTCAACCCTACATGGGGCACCCATATCATACCCTCTCCTCCTAAGGCTCAGGAATCATTGTGGAAGAGGGAGTGGAAAGATTGTATGAGCCCCAGTGGCTGGATGAAGACAAGGAAACCATGCTGTCTGGATACAACGGGATAGCTGTACATATGACCAGTACTTGTGACAGCATGCTCAAGACCTGTGCAAGCCCAAGCCAGAGAAAAACCCAGCATGGATCAGGGAGGCGGGTAAGAAACCCCAGTCCCAGTTGAGGATCTATTGGCAACTAATATCTGCTAGGAGAGGTAGAGTCAGTTTTCTTTAAGAATGTGACACCTGGCAGCTGACCAGGTGCCAAGGGACAGACCTATACTCAAGAGCATTTGGGGGTGGGGGGACAATGACATAAATTAGACCTGGGAGGCAGATCTCTGTGACATCTAGGCCAGCCTGGTCTACATAGTAAGTTTCAGGCCAGCTGAAGCAACAGGGAGACCCTGTCTCAAAAAGACCAAGAAAACCAAAGAACCAAAAATCACTCTCCATCTTAAAATGACTCCATTTTATTCTAGCTGACCTTTGCTCACCCTGTGTTTCGCCGACACTCCCCTTGCTCTTGCTAACTACACCAAGCAGAACCGTCCTATGGGGGCTGCATCTGCAGTTTCATGGGATTTATTGCTTCTACAATACTGGGATAGTTGTTTTTTTCCTAACCAAAACTTTATGTGGGTTCCTCTGTGCACACTCGCTATTATAGAAAGCTCATCAATGCAGCTAAATTGGCTAGCCAGTGAGTTCCAGAGAATTGCTTGTGTTTGCTTTACCTGAGTGCTGGAGATCCTAACTCAGGTACCTGTGCTTATGCACCAGGAACTTTAGAGACTGAACCATCTTCCCAGCCTCTCCTTTTTTTGGGGGGGGGGTGGGCGAGGGGGCTTGCTATATATCTCAGACTTGAACTTGCCTCCTGCCTTAGACTCCTGAATAGCTGAGTTTATTGGCCTGCATCACCAGGCCCTGCTCTTATGTGGGGAGAGGGAGGGAGAGAGGAAGGGAGGGAGGGAAGGAAGATAAAAGTAAGACAAAGAACAAGACACTTTGGGAGCCGAGTCTGAGTTCTGTGGACCCAAGCAACATTACATAGCATTTACTGGTGAATGTCAGGGACTTGCTAGGCGCTTTGAGGATTGTAGACAGAAGGAAGGGAATGCCTATTAGGACAAGCAAGACATTGGCAGGCAGAGAAAATAAGAGCACACAGCTCTAGAAGTGGCTGGAGTGACAGGATGATTCTTCCTCACCTTCAAATCTGTCACTAGAAAACAAAATTTTAAATGCCCACTTCTAGGGCTGGGAAATACTCTGATCACTACTGGAAAATATTCTCTAAGGCAGAGACAGATAATGGGAATTCTGATTATATAAGTCTAAGTAAGCTGAGTATGGGTCAATAGGCTTTTGTGGAAAGCAAGGCCCAGTGTCTATATATACACACACATACACACTGTCCATTCCTCAGGGAATTAGGAAGTGCTGTTACTGCCATCTGTCTGGTACTGTTTCTGAAATATCACATCCAGGCTGGTCTTTGAAAACAAGCTGGTCTTTCTACACCAAAAATAAACAACCACCAGAATAACAGCAACAGAATCCTTTTTAAGGCTAGAGATGTAGCTCAGTTGGATCGCCAGTACCGCTGGCCTGTATTCCCAGCACTCCAAGAGATAGAGGCAAGGAGATCAGAAATCCAAGGTCACCTGGGCTACAATCCTTTACGACACAGTTTGGGGTCAGCAGGAGTTAAGAGTCTATCTCAAAACAAACTAAACAAATCCCACTAAAACAAAGCCTTCACATTCTGCTTCAAGACAAGTTTTCCAAACAGCTCCCACCACTTTGTGCCTACCAAGAAGAACAAAAGAGACAGCTTGAAAACAAAAGGATTTAAAAAATCTTTTACTTTTATTACAATAAATATTTAGCCATAAAAGAATTAAACAATTTAAAACTAAACCTACTGCTTTACTTTGGAGTTCACAGCAGCAGAAAGGAACATAAATCCAGTTGAAAGGTCAAGGCTTCTAGAACCCAGTGGCAAGAATCAGTCAGGTCTTGATTATCTGGACTAGCAGCAGGGAACAGCAACATAGATAATGCAAAGATCACATCCAAACGCCCTGGAGCATTCTACTGTATATCCAATCACGAGATTTCAAGCATTCCAGCAAAGTAATATAAGCTTGCCAAGCTCAGCTTCCGGGGGAGTGCATTCTCCCCATGGAGTCCACTGGCACACAGCTCCCAAACCTGCCTCCTCACCAGAAGTGGCCTCAGCACAATGCAGACCCAGGGGCCTCAATTCCGATGGGAGCAGCCAGCATTCTTGAAACCAGTCTTATTGGCTCACAGGATCCCTGATGAAAGGGACAGGGAAAGTGACATATTTAAAGGGTTTTCTCAAGGCCTGAAATGAGCAGAAAGGAAGGAGGAAAAGCTGTGACTCCAGATGGGTTAGTGGCTTCAGATGTGGCCATGTGCACACTAAGTCCACAGGAAGCAGCGGTGCTCTGAGGTTACCACCTGGCTAATAATCAAGACTAGACTCCATGTAGATACACTATCATACATACAGATAGAGAATAGGTATGCATATTAAATATGTGTATATACAGACAGAGCACATGGAACCAGATAAAATAAATGCTACATTATTTACTATGAATACAGCAAGTCCTATATAGGCCAGCTACATATATGCTCAATTAAAGTTCCTGAGGGCTGGAGAGACGGCTCAGTGGTTAAGAACACTGGCTGTTCTTGTAGAAGACCCAGGTTCAAATCCCAGCACCCACATGGCAGCTAACAATTGTCTGTAACTCTGGTCCCAGGGGGATCTGACAGCCTCTCCTGACCTCTGCCAGCATTGTACCACACCAGTACACTTACCTACATGCAGGCAATAAACGCATATGCATAAAATAAAAATAATAAATAAAAAATTTTAAAGTTCCTGAAAGGGAAAAGATTTTACATCCTTTCTTGTCTCATATATTCATTCTTTGCAGTAAATACACCACTGGCTTCGGTGGTGGTTTCTAGGTACCTGAGAAGGAATGCAATTGTAGTTTCAGGAGACTACAGGGAGCCAACTCTAACAGGGCCAAACTAAACTCAGGAATTGACTTGGCCACAATTCCTGCTACCTATTCTTAGCATAGAACATAAAGCCTTAGAAAAGTAGCGATTTATTTTTCTCCAACTGGCCATCAATCTATTATGTTAGGAGGGAAGGGAAAGGGCAGATGCCCCCTCTTCGTACCTTTGTGATTATTGTCTTCCCTTGTCCAGAAAAAAAATTAACTGGAATTTGGACTTCAATACTGAATTCTGCTTTCTTGGGAAATTTTGAAACGAGAAAATAATTATACATAGCTGGGGTTTTTGTTTCCTGAATGGCTAATGGTTCTGATGAGGACCCAAACCAAATAACCTAAATTAAAATATATGACAAGTAGTCTTAGTAGCTCTGACGCTCAAGGTCTAATGAACAGACATTCATACAGATTAGAAATGGCTATTTCTACAGTGGTGAGCTACATCAAATGCTAACTAAATTAAGTTCCAGGTCAAGGATTTTTCTCTTTAGTTACTAAAAAAAAAAGTGCTTACCAAAAAGATCACAATCTAGAATTTATGGTAGATTGTGTACGGTTTAGTAAAAACCTCAAATCAGTTCTTATTTTAATTGTTACCCAAAGAAATTGCTTAAAAGATTTTGGCCAAAGTGACATAAGACATCTGCAGCTTTTAGTCAGTCCCAGGTGTTCAGTACTGTCTCTGATTTCAAGCTTTAGTGCTGCTGCAGCAAGCACTGTCTTTAGTGTCTATGTAGCCAGCACTTAGACTCTTAATGACCAAGATCCAATCTCCATAAAAACATCACTACTCTGACTGGCCCAGCTTTCTAAGAATGATTCTCTGAAAAGGGCAATAACATTAATGGTCTAAGAAAGCCCAGAGCAATTTTTCTCTTCTGCCCAAATGTATTTTCCTAGAGAGACAAGCCCTTGCTAAATATTTTAAAGCCAGTCTGTATGGCACTTTCAATTCTGGGAATCCAGCCTTCCTCACTGGATGAACCAAAGTTCTTTGCTCCGGATACCTGTGAGAGTACTCTAAATAGCAAAACTCCTTTCGAAAGCTACCCTAAATGTAAACTTGTTAAATGTCTTATAAACAACATATTCCTGCTTAAAAACAGACAAAACCCAGCTAGTTTACTCTCTCTTAAATATTTGTTTATTAAAGAGCAAAGCATACTACTGACATGCAGGTTAAAAAGTAAGGTTACAGTTATTTGTACTGTAGAAACACTAGAAACAAATCAGCCAACAAATCCAATTCCCTTGGTGCCATGCAAGAAAGAGATAAACACATCACCACTTTCTCTGGAAAAGTTAGACAGCCATGATTCACCACATATCCTGAACCAACTGCCTGTCATGATGTCAGTCATTTGTACCACTTTGGAGAATGAAAACTAAAATATGAAAATCATGTGTTACATAATTATTAAAAGAAAAGCAGAAATTTATGCTAGCTTCTTAAGAATTCCTGGAGCATCCCATATTCAAGTTTCACAGCAATTAATCTAACACCATTTTTGTTAAGACTGTCTCTTTACATGTACATGTCAAAGTGCTTGAATGTAGCATACTAGTTAAAATTCTTCCTTGAAGGTTGTAGTAGGGGAAGCTAACTTAGGTTACTCACCCACAGGGTGTTCAAGAAAGGAAATGCTGCCTAAAAAGACTTCTCATGGGACAAAGAAGATTCTGGTCTGACTTCACAGATTTCCTATAGAGTGCTTGATCAAGCCCAGAATTGAGTCAAGATAAGGCCACTCTGAACACAGGTATCATCACAACCAAAGATTTCTGGTTTTGGCTTATCTGGAGACCCAAAGTCAAAAGCTCCATTCCAGAGCTTCACTGTCCATGCTGAGGCAGCTGTTGGTCTTTAGCAGTCAAGAGATCTAAGACAATCAAGATTTGAATATGGCAAGATCTAGAGGCAACAAAGCCAGACCTCAGAGAACTATTTCTGTCTTAGGTGGTGGCCAGTTGACATGAAGCTTAGGAGAAGAATTACAAATAGGTTCCCAGCAAAAATACAAAGAATGAAAAGTAGCCTTTGATTTAAACACCTCCAAATTATCTTTTATTCTCCATGGGTCATGGAGTCAGAGTCTGCTTTGGGAAGCAAGGTACCTTCATATGCTTTCTGACTGACTACAAAATAAACCAGTCCTTTAAAAAGTAAGCACCTAGGAAACTTCTAAATTCAGAGCATTAAAAGTGGTCTCTTTCCTTCCCTTTAAAAAGAGCACTACAGCTGGGCATGGTGGCTCATGCCTTTAATCCCAGCACTTGGGAGGCAGAGGCAGGTGGATCTTTGTGAGTCTGAGGCAAGCCTGGTCTACATAGTGAGTTCCAGGACAGCTGGGGCTACAAGGAGACCCCGTCTCAAAAAAGACACACACAAAAAAAAGGGCACTATGACTTTTTCCTGTGTATATTCCCCAAATGCTCAAGCTCCAAGTACAATCAATACTCTTTTGGTGTCTATTTAGAATGTACCCAACTCTAGACACACACTTCCTCTCCTCAATGCCTCTGCAAGAGAATAAATGTGGATCAGAAGCAGAAGCAGTGCTACAACATCCTAGGGCACACTTAGCATGCCACTTCCTTTTCAAAACTGGGATTAAAAGCATTTCACTTATAACAGAAATGGCAAGGAAAAATAGATAATTTTTACTTCAAAGTTATTTCTATTGTCCTTAAAAATAAAACCTATAAACTTTATTACTATTTTTGAAGGAAAGACACTAAGTTCTGGCAATTTCAAACTGCACTGCAGTAAGAGATAACTTATGTTATAAAATATCACAGCAACAGCAGCAGCAGCACACTCTATCCAGTTATTGTTAATATTTTCCATCCCATATCCCTTCAATCATAGGGAACTTATTTTCTGACAAGTCTAAATGGTAATTTTTCATACATAACCTGAAAGGAAACTTCTCACAAATATCTGTAACTTTGGTTCAGCAGCACAACAACGCAAACCTCTGGCCTGGCTAAGGCACTCTATTCTGCAAATACAGAAAGCATGTATGTGTGCTCCTGATCCTGGTGTTGCATCCCCAAAGGCAGCTCAGTGCAGGCTTGGGAGAAGGGCTGAGGGGGTGAATTCACTCAAACAGCATGCATAATTTTGCAATATCTTTTATACTTTGGAAAGATTATAGTAACTGGCATGATAGAAATGCACAGAGCCATAGTAATCAAGCCCTGCATCTGCTGTTATACCACTTAACAAATGGGGTTTCCAAGATGCACCATCAAGGCAGAAGACTAAAACAGGTGAACATTAGCAAGCTAGGAGGGAGTCATGGGTCCATAGCATTCCGAAACATTGACTGCTAGTTTCGCTTTCCCTTGTTAAAAACCTCCTTTCTTCCATTCAACAATGTCAATAAAACTGTTTATAATTCTTTACCACCAGAGACATATTCAAAAGAGGCACAAAACCTCTTTTCAAATACACTTGATGTAACAGAAAGAGGAAAAACACCATTTTTGGAAAAAAATAAATCCCCAAAATTATAGAACATGACCTGTAACCTTAACTAATGTACTAATGTCAGAATTAAAGGGTGTATGTGTGTATACATATTCTTTTTACTATACTGCAGAAGGTGAAGAAAGCCTGTGATCCAAATTTGTTATTTTATAAATATTTATCAGTTCTTTTCTTTTATACAAATTAATATTCTTGTGTACAGAGTCAAGAAAACAGTAAAATGATTAATCAAAAAACCTTAAAACCAGATTCTTTTCTGCCGCATGCTGAGTTAACGGTTTCCAGTTCAGTTTTGCAGAGCAACACAATGTATAAACAAAGAAGTTATCTTCACTTAATTGGCTCATTATTAAACCTTCATGATGGCAATTTATTTATCTAACAAACATAAATCACTATTCATTTTCCCACACCAATTTTTCATGTTTTCATTTTCATTTTGTCTTAAAAGTTCAAACACACCTAAGCCTTTACAATTTTTAGAACCAAGTATAAGCCATGAGCTAGCTCCTTGACTCATTTCCAACAACCTGGATGACAATGATTAGATTTTGTTTTGTTTGTTTTTTTTACAAAGCAGTAGACAGAAATTCAACAAAAAAATGCACTACAATATTTCACTATGGTCACATTTATAGATAAATAACAGTTAAGAATTTAATTACATTATCAACACAAGTGGTGCCTATTTAATCCAAGTGCAACCTGTCCAAAAAAAAAAAAGGGTTTAAGATACACTCTTCATTCAAGCACAAACTTCATTCAGTGGAAAATCAATTCAGCAAGTAAATTTCACCACCACCAAACTAAATGAAGACAAAAATCAAAAAGAAAGAAAATGCCTACATTCATGAAAAGATGTGATTTACACAACAACCATAATACAGTTAAAAGGATTTTAATGTTGTCAGCAAATCTCAAAATTATGTTGAGTTATATAAGGAAGTAAATACTCAGTAAAGCATATGTATCAAAAGTTTTCTTCAAATAGGGAGGTGGGCAAGTTGGGAATAGAGAATGTCTCTCTGATTTATCCTGTATGAGAATTAAAACCACAGCATCTCACCCCCAAAAAGGAGAGTGAGAGAGAAAGCAAGGAAAGACAGGTAGACAGACTGTGTCAGAAAACTAATTTCAGTTTGAAGTTCTGAGATTCCTAACTCCAATTTAACTTTCCTCTCCCATGGTGCTTTATCTGCATCCTCACAAGTAATCCCACAAGATCAGAACTGCCATATATATTCTTAAAAATCATAGGCATCAGATACAGCAACCACAGCCAAGGGAGGAAATGCCACAATTAAACAATGAACCAAGTCAGTGGGTGAGCTAGAACTACAACCCATTTGCTAGTAACAATAGAATATTTCTCACTAAAAGAAAATCAGCCCATTTATCATGATTTAGCCCCTAATAAAGAGTCGGGACACTAAATAATCTCTCCTAGCAGGTGAGGACAAAAGACATTTCCATAGGAAAGAGAAACCAGAATTTGGCAACTGAATACTGTTTCAGAGTCACTGGCATCTCTGGCTGATAGTGACTTGGTTTTTTGTTTTGTTTTGTTTTAACCTCTTCTCTATTTTAAATTCAGGCTGTTGATCATTTCCACAGCTAAAGACCTATTATAAAATACCAAATATTAAGACATATTATGGTTATCTGAATGCTATTTGTGTTCCTGAATCAATCTGGGGATTTAAAAATAAAAACAAATCATCTTTAATTCTGTATGAGTCAGAACATTATAGGCTCACGAAGCCAGGAACATTTAGCTGGTTTAATGTATACCGTGCTTAATCAAAATGTCACGTTTTATAAAAAAATAAAGTAAGTTGGGAGTTAGAAAATCCAAAATTCCACAAGTTCAGATCATGTTTCATTCCTGTGGTCCAAGTACCATACACACTGATAACCCCATGTCTGTCAAGCAGATCACTTTAGTTCAATGGTGATGGATGAAATATTTACAAGCATCTATTTACAGTACTTTCTGAAGATTACAGGCCAATATTCTTTTCTTCCATTCCTAGTCAATCTGAGTTTGGTTTTCTCAATGAAAAAGGGTAAATCTGAAAATGGCTGCTCAGCTGCTTCACCTAGGAAAACCAGAATACAAGACAGTGACAAACACATACCTGATTTTTCTTTAAAAGTACACACAATGTTTTAAAAAAAAGAAAAAAAAAGTGCCCAGAATTTGCCCTCTGCAGACAACAATTTACCAACACAGTAAAAATCATCAGAAATAAGAAAGGTTCTACTGAAATAGAATAGCTAATGGGCTAGCTTGCTCGGTAAACAGGAGTGTTAGACCTGCCCTCATAGTTAGGACTTGAACCTGGGTCTGCCTACCTCCCCTACCTCCAAAATCTATTCTACCTAAGGCCTTCTAGACTAGGCCAATACATATTCAAATCTACTGGAAAAAAAAATAGGATGACCTGACCTACAATATCTAGTAAAAGAAATTATTACACTAATAGAGTTAATATTTAGAATTTTTTTTTTTTTTTTTTTTTATTTTTTGCGCCTCAAGTCTCCATGTAGCCCCAGCTGCCCTGGAACTCACAGAGATCCATCTGCCTCTGCCTCTGTGCTGGGATTAAAGGCATGCACCACCACACCCAGCTAATATTTAGCTACTTAAAACATTGCTAGGCAAACCTTTCTAGTCCTGATGGAATGGTAAAAGAACACACCTGTGAATTTGAAGGCTATATTGGTTAGTGTCTCCCTGACAAGAGATAGGAGCATATATGCCATTAGGTGTCAATTATTTAATACTTACCATTGATATTTTAGCAGTTCAAGTCAATGTGGCCTAACAAGTTTTATCTTTTGGTCAGAAATGGTCAAAGAGCAGAAAGACAACAAGAAAGATGCTCTTAGAATTTCAGCCAGCTCATTCCTTCCTTCCTTCCTTTTTTTTTTGAGACAGGGTCTCAATATGCTGCCTTTGCTGGCCTGGAATGCTCTTATAGATCAAGCTGGTCTTAAACTTCTGAGATCTACCTGCTCTGCAGGGATTAAAGGCTTATGCCACCATGTCTGGCTACTTTGTTCTTTTCTAGAAATTTTTTTAAATTCGTATTTAATTTAAAACCTTTTTGTTGATGTTTTTTGAGGTAGGGTCTCACTATGTAGCCCTGGCTAGTCTGGAATTCACTTTGTAGACCAGGCTGGCCTCCAACTCAGAAATCTACCTGCCTTGGCTAGAATTAAAGGTATGAGCCACTATGCCTGGCCTCAAACTTGACTTTTTTACATTTATTTATTTATTCTGTGGGAAGAAAAGCCATACATATGCCACAGTATGCATATAGAAGTCAGAGGACAATCTGCAGGAGTTGGTTCTCTCCTTTCACCATGCAGGTTCCAGCAAATGAACTCAGGTGGTCAGACTTGGCAGCAAGAAGTCAACTCACTGGCCCCATAAAATTTCACTTTTATCGTTAGTATTGGGTCTGTGTGTGTGTGTGTGTGAGAGTGAGAGAGAGAGAGAGAGAGAGAGAGAGAGAGATATGTCTATGTGTGGGTGCGCTTGTGCTGTGTGGTGTGTGTGGAGGACAAAGGACAACTCTGGAGGCCATTCTCTTCCACCATTATATGGGTTCCAGGGATTGAACTCAGGTCACCAGGCTCAAGTAGCAAAAGGCCTCTTAGGCACAGAATCATCTCACTGGCCCTATTCTCCAGATTTTTAGGAATGAACTTTGTATTACCTTTGTAACTTAGAGAAGAATATGTTTTGGTTTGGCATATTTATGATTTTCTAAAGATATGCTTCTAAAGAACTATATGTATTTTTTTTAATTACAAGATCCTAGCAACAGTGTTCTAGGTCATGCATATGATCAATGAAAAAGCAAGATAATGCCCAAGCATGCTGACAGAAAGCAAACAATAATAAATCTGTAAAAATAAAATCAAGGGGCTGAAGAGATGGCTTAGTGGTTAAGAGCACTTGCTACTCATGGAGAGGACTGAGGTTCGATTCCCAGCACCCACATGGCAACTCACCATCTATAACTTCAGCTCAAGGGGATCCAGCATTGTCTTCTGGCCGCCATGGTCACCAGGCATGGCACATACATACATGCAGGCATTCAACACTTATACATAAAAGAAATCACTTTGCGATTTTGTTTATTTTTATTTTATATGTGAGTATATTGCCTGCGTGAAGTGCACAACGTGTGCAATGCCCCACAGAGGCCAGAAGAGGATGTCAGATATCCTGGAACTAGAGTTACAGATGGTTATTAGCTGCTATATGGGTGCTGGGAACCAAAACTGAGTCTTCTGCATGAGCAGTGTTCTTACCTCCAGAGCCATCTCTCCAGCCCCAAATAAATCTGAGAGAGAGAGAGAGAGAGAGAGAGAGAGAGAGAGAGAGAGAGAGAGAGAGAAGAAAATGATTGTATCTTTTTTAAAACTTGAGGACAATTTTATTAGTTTAAAAGAAAAACTCAGGGCAGGCAAGCTATAAATCTCAGCAGCTGCCTGAAATAGGAGAATGGAGGGGAGAAGGCGAGAAGACATTTGAGCAGGCATGAAGGATAGAGACATAGTGGACAAGCAACCACATGGAGGGGAAGAGGGCTGTGGAGACAGAAGAGCCCAAATTCTTAGAGAACGCATGCTTACAAAGAGAAAGAAGGAAAAGTTACACTTAGGAAGCTACATGGCTACAGCTTGGTAAGCTACTGCCAAGTGATAATATCGTACATCACAATTCATCAGATTTCTCAGAATTGTCCCCACTTTTTTTTTGGTCTTTTTGAAGCAGGGTCTCCCTGTAGCCCCAGCTGTCCTGGAACTCACTATGTAGACCAGGCTGGCCTTGAACTCACAGACGTCCACCTGCCTCTGCCTCCTGAGTGCTGGGACTACAGGCGTGCGCCACCACACCTGGCTTGTCCCCACATTTTTAAAAATGTGTACAATAATAAGGAAGTAAAAACATTTTGTGTAAACTAATTCAAAGCAGGATTCCTTTCAAAACAAGTACAGGAGCTAGGCATGACAGCACACACCTTTAAGCCCAACACCGGAGAGGTAGAGGCAAGCAGATTTGAGTTTGAGGTCAGTCTGGTCTACATAGTGAGTTCCTGGCCAGCCAGGAGACTCCATCTTAAAAAAGGGGGAGACAGAGGGTGGGGCTGGAGGGATGACTTAGTGGTTAACAGTACTGGCTGCTTTTGCAGAAGACAGGTTCAGTTCTACATAGTGAGTTCCTGGCCAGCCAGTGAGACTCCACCTTTAAAAAGGGGGAGACAGAGGGTAGGGCTGGAGGGATGACTTAGTGGTTAACAGTACTGGCTGCTTTTGCAGAAGACAGGTTCAGTTCCTAGCACCCACGTGGCAGCTAACAACCATCCCTAACTCTAGTTATAGGGGATCTAATGCCCTCCTCTGGCTTCAGCAGGCATTATACACATATGATACATTTATACACATGTTGGCAAAGCACATACACATAAAATAAAAAGATATTTTTTAAAAGAGCATAGGAAACAGAAGCTAAAGCCATTAAATGTGAATAATCTTTTGTACCACTCCATTCCTACAAAATTATCCTCTCAATGTAACACAAATGGGAGAAAAAATTATTTCAGTTTGGGGGTTGGAGCGATGGCTCAACAGTTAAGAGCACTGGCTACTCTTGCAGAGGACCTGGGTTTGGTTCCCAGCACCCACATGGTGGCTAACAACTGTCTGTAACTCCAGTTCCAGAGGATCTGATGTGCTCTTCTGGCCTCCATAGGCATTGTACAACAGTACACTTACATACATGCAGCAATACACTCATACACATAAAATATAAATAAATAAATAAATAAATAATAAATAAATATTTCAGTTTGTTCCTACCAACATTATGAAAATTAAATCATTAAGTTCTTAAAATAAATAGGCTGTAGGGGCTGAAGAGATGGCTCAGTGGTTAAGAACACTGGTTGTTCTTGCAGAAGACCCAGGTTCAAATCCCAGCACCCACATGGCAGCTAACAACTGTCCATAACTCCAGTTCTAGGGGATCTGACAGCCTCTTCTGTCCTCCGTGGCACTGCACGACACGAGTGCACTTACCTACAAGCAGGCAATACATGCATACACATAAAAATAATAAATAATAAAATATTTTTTAAAAAATAGGCTGTAACTGGTAAGTTGCAAATTGGGTAATTATTAGTAATTTCTTTGGTGGAATACTGGGTAGTGATTAAAATTTATAATTATGGAATGGTGCTAAAGAATGCACAATAATTAGAAAAAAGATACGAAAGTGGGAGGAAACAAAAACACATGGTTCTGACATCATTGCAGTTGTCATTTATCCTTAAACTAATCTTATTTTTGAAGAGAACACTAGGTTTGCTAAACACTTGTTTATTTTTGTTTTGCTTTCTGAGACAGTATTGCATGCAGACCTCAGTCTAATGGTCTTCCAGACTCCTTGTGTCCTTAATGCTAGGATTATAGGGATGGTTCACCATGTCCAACAAAGCCTTTTTTTTTTTGGTCTTTTTGAGACAGGGTCTCCCTGTAGCCCCAGCCGGCCTTGAACTCACTATGTAGACCAGGCTGGCCTTGAACTCATAGAGATCCGCCTGCCTCTGCCTCCTGAGTGCTGGGATTAAAGGCGTGCGCCACCACACCTGGCGACAAAGTATTTCTTAAAAACATTTTCTTCTATATTTCCTCATTACTTGCTGATAAAGGCTCATGAGGTAAAGCCTGAAATAATGTGAAAGCCTTCTTCTGGTCTAAGATGCTAGCCTGCCGTACTACATTTCTCACAGGACTGGGTGGGAGAGGGAAGTACTATAAACCAATGTTAGTTTCTTTCCCAATTAAGTTAACATGCAATAAAAATATCCTAGGATAAAGAAAACAAGTAATTAAAAGTACAGATAAGTTTTCAGTTCTGGTCAACAAGAAAATGCTTTACATATATATAAAACCATTTAAAATAACAACTAGTTTCCCATAATCATTCAGACTTAAAACCATTTGTAGTTACTATAACAAAATCATTAGAAAAACAGCATGTGAAATTACACATCTAGGCATTGACACCTCCCCTGCAATTCTGAGTTATTAAACTAGAATTTTCCACTGCCTCCTTTCTAGTGCTTACAAGAAACAAAGGGAGCCAGTGCTGCTCTCGATTACTCACCACTCGTACTCCGTAATGGATGTGGGCCAGGGTGAAGGCAGCTGTCAATGTGCAAAGGAGAACACTCTCAAGATGAGAAGCTACTCCTAAGTTCACTGCTATGACAACCAAGAAGAGAGGGAGCAGCAACCAATTCAAAGTTGGGCACCGAGTGCTGCTCATTTGACAAACGATTAGCTGACACTTGGAGGAGAAAGAGAGAGGAAAGAGGGAGAGAGGGCAGGAGATTAAATAGCAAAGCACTTTTTTAGCAGTCATTGGCATTTTTAAAAAGCATTCGAGGGCTGGAGAGCTGGCTCAGTGGCTAACAGCACCAGCTGAGAGGACCCAGGTTCGATTCCCAGCACCCACAGAGCAGCTAACAACTGTTCATAACTCCATTTCCAGGAAATCTGACACCCTCTTCTGACCTCTGCAGGCACTGCATGACACAGGTACACTTACATACATGTAGGCAATACACTCGCATAAAATAAAAATAATATATCTAAAAAATAAAAAGCATTCAAGAACATTATCTTTAGTAATTCTCAGTTGCTCTGGCCCAGCTGGACTCTACCCCAACCCTAAAGCCACAGATCTTGGTAGTGTGCATCAGAGGAGACTCCAGACAATTCAGTAAGGATGCTGTAATGCTGCTTAATGTCACTGTAACTTTACTGGATACAGAATCAACTTGGAAACACACCCCTGGGCATGTCTGTGAAGTCATTTCTAGAGGTTTAAATGCCCTGGATGTGGGCAGCACTTCATGCACTGCAGTCCTGGACTGAATAAAAAGAACGAGGTGAGCTGAGCACTAGCTTCTGTTCTCTCTGCTTCCTGACTGCAGATATAATGTGACCAGCTGCCTCACCTCACACCAGGCCTTCTCTGCCATGACAAACTGTATCCCTAAATCCCTGCTTAGACTAGAGGCTTAAAAAGCCCTCCTTAAATTGCTTTTGTTAGGTATTTTGCCATAAAGATGATCGAACAGCTGTCAAAGTAGCTTTGATTCTTTTGTTTTCTATGTAGCCCAGGTTGTCCTCGAACTCCTGGCTCCTGCTGCCATCTCCCAAGTACTGAAATTGCAGATATGAGCCACAATTTCTGGCTTATATATTATGATTTTAATTTTTTATGTATGGGTATTCTGCCTGCATGTATATAAGTGTACACCACATGTATACAATGCCAGTTGGGGTCAGAAGAGGGCATTGGATCCCGTGGAACTGCATTACAGATGGTTGTTAGCCATCACATGGGTGCTGGGATCCAAAGCTAGATCCTCTGGAGAAAAGCCAGTGCTCTTAACCTTGAGCCATCTTGACTCTAGCTCACATTACAATTTTTAAATGAAAAAGTCTTACTGTGATGTTGGCAAAAGCTGTGCCAACCATGAAGTAGAACACTCTAGGATGTTTCTCTAAAATATCTGAAGGTGACCGGAGAATCCACACTGTAGACAAAATGAAGAGCAAACATGGAGAAAAGAAGGGAACCAAAACTTCATAGGCTGAATTGTGTTTCAAAGTGTTGTTTTTATAACTTCTGAAAAAAAATCAACACAAACAACATTATTGTATATAAAACATATCATTCCCAAATTAATTTCACATTTATTCTTAATTTTTATTCACAATCCTATGGCGTGGTTAGAACCAACATTATTATTATTATTTTATGTGTATGTGTGTATTGCCTACATGTAGGTAAGTGCACCACCCATGTCGTGCGATGCCCGCAGAGGTCAGAAGAGGCTGTCAGATCCCCTGGGACTGGAGTTACAGACAGTTGTTAGCTGCCATGTGGGTGCTGGGATTCGAACCTGGGTCTTCTGCAAGAACAACCAGTGTTCTTACCCGCTGAGCCATCTCTCCAGCCCATAGAACCAACATTATTAACTCCATTTTAAAGATAGGGTTAAGTTAGGATGAAAGGCTCTATATTTATATAATTGCTACCAGGGACAGGATTCTGACTGAAGTCTTCTGACCCAGGCCCCCTTTTCTTTTACTTTAAACCAAATGATCAACCACAGTGTTAAGAATGGAAAGATGGCAGGCATGGTGGTGCACACCTTTAATCCCAGCAGAGGCAGAGGCAGGAGGATCTCTGTGAGATCAAGGCTAACCTGGTCTACATAGTGAGTTCCAGGCCAGCTGGGGCTACAGGGAGACCCTGTCTCAAAAAAACCAAAAAAAAAAAAAAAAGAATGGAAAAATGGTTATAACTTATTCTTTGTTCTACAAGATATTCTAGTAGAGAATCAAACATGAACATAAAGTAACAGCAGGGTTCCTCCCTTTAAAGCAGGTGCTACTTTGAAGGAAGTGATATAGAACTTACAGTAGATACATTTTCACTCAAAGACACTGGAGTGAGACTGCCAGTATCATACCTTGGTGTTTCTAAGCACACTGAAGTAAATCCAGTTCAGCTGAATAGAGCTCCAAATTCTAATCTGGGTTCTGTTATTGGCCAATCACATTAATCTGGACAGTATGTGGCTCAATCAAAGCCTCATCTTTAAGAGGAGGAAATGACTCAAATGATTAGTATGGCTTTCAAACTTAAAATGCTATTATTTATTTATTTGGTTGTTTTTTTGGTTTTTTGGGGGGGATTTTTGTCTTTTTGAGACAGGGTCTCCCTGTAGCCCCAGCTGTCCTGGAACTCACTATGTAGACCAGGCTGGCCTTGAACTCACAGAAGATCCGCCTCCCTTTGCCTCCCGAGTGCTGGGATTAAAGGCGTGCGCCACCATGCCTGGCTATTTATTTATTTGAAACAGCTCTTGCTATGTACCCCTAGCTGAGTACATTATGTAGCCCAGGTTGGCTTTGGTCAGCCTCAGTCTCCTGAGTGTTGGAATTACAAGTATGCACCACCAGCCCTGGCTTAAATTTAATACTTGTATAAATGACCACCAGGAGCAACAGAGAAGAATATAGAGAGATTGGCTTGATACGGATAAGATTCTGTATGACCTCTGCCAGGTATGGAGGTGCACAACCTTAATTCCAGCACTTGGGAGGCAGAGGCAGACAGACCTCTCTCAGTTCAAAGCCAGCCTGGTCTACATAGAGAGTTCCAAGCCAGCTGGAGCTATACTTGTATAAATGACCACCAGGAGCAACAGAGAAGAATATAGAGAGATTGGCTTGATACGGATAAGATTCTGTATGACCTCTGCCAGGTATGGAGGTGCACAACCTTAATTCCAGCACTTGGGAGGCAGAGGCAGACAGACCTCTCTCAGTTCAAAGCCAGCCTGGTCTACATAGAGAGTTCCAAGCCAGGTGGAGCTAAGGGCAGATCCTGTCTCAAAAAAAATTAAAAAAAAAAAAAGATTCTGTATGACAAACCTGACAGCTAAAGGATTAAGTGGAAAGAATATCAGCATTCAACAAGAAAATATTCCTGGAAATGGAGAGATGGCTCAGCGGTTAGGAGCACTGGCTGCTCTTGCAAAGATTCCCAGCATTCACATGGTGGCTAACAACTTTCTGTAACTCCAGATCCAGGGGGATCCAACACCCTCTTCTGACATCCGTGGGCTTTGCACTACACAGATGTACTTACACACATGCAAGCAAAACACTCATATACATAAAATAAATAAATTTTAAAAGAGAAAATACTCCTTCCTTATAGGTAGATTCATTCACAAAAGTGAAAAATGACTATTGAACCTAAAACCTTAACGAAAAAACTAGCAGTTCTGTACTATGGCTGTGTTGATGACACCAGCCAGCACAGATAACTAAATTATCTTATTCTCAAGATTCAAAACACAGGTTTCAAACTTCTTCAAAATGTTCAGATTTCAAAGGTAAACTGATCCTTAAATTCAGTTAAGTATAATAACAATTACTAGAGTCCCTTTTTTTTTTCACAGCTATAAAAATACTTACCTAAAAAAGTTTAATAAACTCATTGGAAGAGTCACACATAATGCACAACCTAAAAGGAATAATATTGATATTATCATGAATTATTCAAGAGTGATTATATTATAGTAACTGAATCCATGTAAAATGTCCAATATTTTAGAACCAGTAATTTCCAGGTTCAAGTAACAAACTACTTTTCTAAACAGGATTTGTAAGGGAACAGTGAAGCCAGGCATGGTAGCACAAACCTTTAATCCCAGCACTTGGGAGGTAGAAGCAGGTGGATCTCTGTGAGAGAGCACAGGCCAGCCTGAGTTCCAGACCAGCTGGGGCTACAGGGAGACCCTGTCTCATAAAAACAAATAAATAGTGAGTGGCAGAACAGCATGGCAAACCAAAGCACAGACTGAAGGAGCCAGCCTGGGCTTCAATTCCAGCTGTGCCATCAGCTGGTCACATAATCATGTGACTTTTGGTAAGTCAACATTTCATCACCTCAGTTTCTTCATTTTTAAGATAGAAATAATAGCAAAAACTCCATAGGTTTGGAAGACTGAATGAATTACTACATGTAGTAACACCTGGAACAGTGCTCAGCATATAGTAAATTGGAAAACAAGTGTAAGAGGGGACAATAAATGGATTCTGCTGCTTTCTGCTTAAAAACCCTTCACTGGTTCTGCCCTGTGACCTGGCTTACCCTGTCACATTCTATCATTTGCTAAGCTTCCTATTTCTTGGCATTCATTTATTCACTCTGCCCCCCTGCTTTATAAAAATTATATTCTTGAACTTTACCAAGTTTTCCTAATGATTAAATTCAGTATCCTTCGTCATTTCTGACTTTTAAGTAAGATGACTTGGTTCACTACCTGGGAACAGCAATTCTTCCTCTTTCTGAAACTCCATTCTCACCCACCTAAGGGCTTCACATTGTATCCTGATTGGCAACTTGACGTCCTCCTGCATATTGCTAATGAGACACTCCATTCATCGTCTGAGAATCAATTCATATTCATATACTAACCCTACTACCACTACCACTCACACAGTCTTCTACTTCAGGCTCCCCAGGGGCTAGGCTTACAAGTCTACATCATCACATTCAGCTCTTTGTAGCTGGGATTTTTGTTTGGTTGGTTGGCTGGTTTTGTTATTCCTGTTTGACACAGGTCTCATGTAGCCCATTCATTCATTCATTCATTCATTCAGTCAGTCAGTCAGTCAGTCAGTCTTTTGAAACAGGGTCTCCCTGTAGCCCCAGCTGGCCTGGATCTTGCTATGTAGACCAGGTTGGCATCTACCTCACAGGGATCTACCTACCTCTACCTCCCAAGTGCTGGGATTACACATGCCTTACATGTGCTACCATGCCCAGCTTCCATATCCAGGTGGAAAGCACAGGAGGAGAGAGCTAACAGTAGATGAATTAGCCCAGTATTACTATAGCTCCAAGTCACTGGAGTAGGGTGAGACAAAAGCACAGATTTGCACAAAGAGCAATTTTAGTTTGAAGTCTTGAAACGTTTATTATTTTTATTTTTATTGTTGTGTGCACAAGGTCAGAGGACAACTTTGTGGAGTTGGTCCTCTCTCTCTACCTTTGTATGGATGGGTTCCCGGATGAAACTCAGGTTACCAGGCTTGTGTGGGAAATCTACTGACTGAGCCATCATGCCAACCCTTGAAACAGTTTTAAGTGGGGCTGGGAATCTGTTAGTAGAGTATTTGCCAAGCATGTAAAGCCCCGGGTTTAATTCCAAACACTACATAAGCCAGGTAATGGTGATGCATGACTGTAATCCCAACACTTGGGAGGAGGTAAAGGCAGTAGGATCAGAAGGTAAAGTTTATACTTCTATCTACATAGAGCATGTAAAGCCCCGGGTTTAATTCCAAACACTACATAAGCCAGGTAATGGTGATGCATGACTGTAATCCCAACACTTGGGAGGAGGTAAAGGCAGTAGGATCAGAAGGTAAAGTTTATACTTCTATCTACATAGTGAGCTAAAAGGCCAGCTTAAGCTACATATAAGCTAGCAAAGGAAAAAAAAACTCTGAACTTCTTCTCTAAATAGTACTTCCTCTACTTTCTGTAAAGAATACTTAACCACTGACGACTTCTCTACTAAATTCTATATTTCATATATATAATGAGGGAGTCCATATAGACAAACCTGCTTTTCATACTGCTGTAATTTAAGGCCAGGCTTCATAATACAGGAAATTTAACAGCTACAGAAAAATCAGAGCTCTCATTCTTTTTTTTTTGGTCTTTTTGAGACAGGGTCTCCCTGTACCCCAGCTGGCCTGGAACTTGGTATGTAGACCAGGCTGGTCTTGAACTCACAGAGATCCACCTGCCTCTGCCTCCCA